CCAAACTGCAGGATTCTTGCAAACCCCTCCTGGGCAAACGTGTCCAAAGCGCTTAGAAGACCGCGCAGGGGCAGCGCGGAGGGAACTTTGGCCCCATGGCTTGCAGACCGCGGCGGCCCTGAGCCTCCTCCGCCTCACTCAAGAGCTGCAGAACATTTATGGAAACCAGAAACCAACACGGGACGTCCTCCGAGCACCTGCGGAGATCTCTGTGGCTTCTTCCACCTGCATGTAGAGGACCGACTCGGCCACCTCGCTCTGCAGCAGCTCCAGGTAGCTCCGTCCCAGGAGAGCGGCTGGCTCCATGGCGTTCTCTGGAGACAACACAGAGCAGATTTTAATTTTATTTTTTTTTGCGACTGAGCCGTCATCAGGAGACCAGTCGGAAGGGCTGGAGAGCTCCGTGGCTGAGGTCTCTGGCTTTGGAGCCAGAGGCTGGGAGTTCGATTCTCCACCGGGGGCCTCCCTTGACACGAGGAGGGTCCCTTCCAGTTCTGCCATTCTAGAACTAAACCTGGATTTACACTCTCCGCACTTGAAGCGTTTCCTTTAAAATGAAGACTGTGCTGGCTGGCGTGCAAAGAAATACAGTGGTGCCCCGGTGGTGCCCCGCTAGAGGCTGACCCTGTTACACGACAAAATTGCCTGACGATGCCTTTTTTGCGATCGCTATAGCGATCGCAAAACGATGTTTCCTATGGGGTTTTTTCATTTAACGATGTTTAGGTCCCTGCTTCGCGAACCGATTGTTCTCAAGATGACGATTTAAAACAGCTGATCGGCGGTTCGCAAAATGGCTCCCCACTATTTTCCAGACCTATTTCCGCAAGACAGGGGTCACAAAATGGCCGCCCTATGGAGGATCTTCGCTGCACAAGCAGGTATTTTCCCAATTGGAACGCATTAACCGGTTTTCAATGCATTCCAATGGGGTTTTTATTTTCGCATGACGGAGATTTCGCTCTACAGTGATTTTAACGGAACACATTATCATCGTCATGCGGGGCACCACTGTATATAAATGAACTAACTATTGCTTTGCATTCGATCCCAATATTTTTGTATATTTCTGTATATTTATATATTTCAGATGTTTTATTTGTGGCTGGTCTTTTGACTGTAATAAAGTTTTAGCTACCTATCTATCAATGAATGGATAAAAGATATGGTGGCCTTCCTGCCTGAAGGGCTGCCCGCCCGGTCCGAAGCTCCTGGGCCTCTGATCCATGTGTCGCCCTTGAGCTCCAACCTCGTGGCTGGCCATGGCACACAGCATGATTGCTTCTGAGGGGGCATCTGCTGAGGTTGCCCCCCACCCCACCCAATTTCCAGGGCATCCTCTCATCCAAGGACCAGCCAGGCCCCCAAATCAGCCAAGTCCGGATGTGTTCAGGGTGGCAGAGTGAACTACATGTCCCATGGTCCTCTCACCCACAGGGCCGGTGGCTCTGAGCAGCTGCGATCCAGCCACCCCCTACTCCAGAAGGAAGATGAGGACGGGGTGAGGAGAGAAGGTCTCGATCCGAGTGCCAGGCGTGGCATCATCACAACTCCTCCCGCTTCTGCTCTCGGTGATTCTGCCCAGATTTGTGCGGGTTGAATTCCGGCTCGGCTCACGGGTCCGCCAGGGCAAGGGAAGACCAGCCAAGAGTGCCAGCGTAACCCCCGCCCCGCCCCGTAAATACGGAAAGGAACCGAGGGGGGAAAGGGATGTTGTTTGTCCATGGGAAAAATAACCCGCAACATGTTTCGTTCTGATACGAAGTGGGATGTGACTTCTATTATTTCATCTCCTGCAACTTGAAATGAGGATGTGGCTTTTGTAACCCACATCAAGAATGGCACATATCCTGTACAATGATCTACACAGGGACGTATTCCCAGTGTGGCCACTTTCCACAGGCTCAGTTCCCTCCAGAAAGGCTATTTCCCCTGCAAGCTATGTTTCTTTTTGCCATATTCCTGCTCATTTTCACCAGTCCACAGACATTTCTGCTCCAGAAAACCTGCTAGATGGGTCTGTGTCGACCAAGACAGAGCAGGGCTTTTGCGCAGGTAATGGCCCTCCATGGCCCCTTAGGGACAAAACCTCCCTCAAGGACTTGGCACGGGAGCAGAGAGAGCTTGTAAGGACATTTCCCGCCCAGCAGCTGTGAGGACGGCAGCGAAGCTCAGAGAGAAACGCTTAGGGGACTTCCGAGCGATGTCGTGGCCCCTGCAGATCTGGGGAGGGGAAAGGGTTAAAAACGGGGCTTTGATGCTCCACAAAACCCCTGGAAACCTCTTGCAGAAGAACTGGGGGGCGGCCGGGAGCAGGGAGGGGCTTGCATCCAGGCAGCACCTTTTTCCTTCCACGTGAGAGGTCCCTTTTCTCCTTGTTCCCTTCTCTTCCTCTGCAGTTTCCCCTTCTCCACTGGCTTTTTAAAAAAGGTAACTCTGCTGTCCATAACAAAGTATTTTTTTAAAAAAAGTTCCAAATTTCTCCGCCTCCCCATAAAAGCTTCTTTAGACTCAACAGTTAGCCCAGTTTGCTCTTACTGCAGAAAGCAGATCTTGGGGCAGGGAGAGAGAGAGACCCTCTTTCTTTGGTAGCGTATAAATTGCACGTCACAATTCTTTTTAAAGATGCAAGGCCAAAGGGCCAATGAAAACTGCATTGGCTAAAGCTGGGAAAAGGTTCATCAAAATAAATTTTTAAAAAGTGTTCAAATCCTGTTTAAAAGTAATTCCTTGAAAGTAACTAGAAAAGTTGCCCACTACATCTGGGAAAGGAGCTTTGGAACTAGTAGTTGGATTACTTTTACAGGAACTTTGCAACTCTGCAATTACTTGTTCCCCAAAGTAACTAATTTCAGGTAACTCCATTACTTCCAAGCTCTGCGTAGGTTCATGTAACTCCAGAAGGGCGCTCAAGGCAGAACTTTGGAGCAGACCTCCAGAATCGGAAGGAGCCCCCTCCCCACCTCAAGAGGCTGGAAAATCGTGATTCCCCCAAAGTAACTTCTCCATGCTTTCTCTCGCACTCTAATATTTCAAGTCCAGAGAAGCTGGCAGCCGACCGAGACTCTGAAGGGTAACCGTTCCAGGGGCAAAAATGGGGTGAAATAAGGTTGCAAATTAAGTCTTCCCCAATCAGATGAGGGACTACAACTCCCATGCCCGATGAAGGTGATGGGACATGTAATCCAGGACATCGGAAGACACCGGTGGGGAAAGGCTGGAGAGTGTGGATCGGGTGCAGCTCAACCCCTTCTGACTGGGGGGGGGCTGGAAGAGCCAGGATGGGGCGGGTGGCGGAGCTGGCAGGCAGGATCCTGCTCACTCCAGGCAGCTGTGCATCGGCAGAGAGAGCGGTTCGAGCCGCACACCTCCAGCAAGGGCCCAGGACACCAAAGAGGAAGGGGGGGGTCGGGCAGGGAAGCAGAAGGGAGAGGGCTGAGGCAGGTGGAAGAGACGGCCAGCTGCCAGGGGTGGCGGTGGTGGTGGTGGTGGAGGCAGCGACTGGGGGGGGGGAGGAAGACTCACCTTGGAGAAGCTGGTCCCATTGCTCCGCCTGCAAAGCCTGTTGGATGCAGAGCCCTGCGCTGCACGCAGCCATGGTGCCAGCTGCAGGAGAGCTCCTAGCAAGCCCTCCGGCTGTGCCCAGATTTTTACCCAGCAGTTCAAACACGAGGTTGTCAGTAAACACCCCAGGGGGAAACCCAAAAAGAAGGTAACGAGGAAATTCCCTTTGATTTAACGGCAACGGGCCTTACGCTCTCACCCTGAGAAAATGTGGCCAGCACCTCCTTCCTTCTGTGCAGGATGGCCGGCCAGCCCACCCGCCCCCTGTTCCTGGAGGTCCCTGCCATGAAATCTGCCACCTGCTAAATAAAACCCCAGCGACTTCTCTTTTTCTTTAGCATCCTTTCTGCATCCCCGGCTACTGCGTCCTTTCGGCGAGGTCCTCTGGAGCCCAGCGCTTGCCAGCGCGGCGCAGAGATGCTTCCTTCCTTCTGTGCAGGATGGCCGGCCAGCCCACCCGCCCCCTGTTCCTGGAGGTCCCTGCCATGAAATCTGCCACCTGCTAAATAAAACCCCAGCGACTTCTCTTTTTCTTTAGCATCCTTTCTGCATCCCCGGCTACTGCGTCCTTTCGGCGAGGTCCTCTGGAGCCCAGCGCTTGCCAGCGCGGCGCAGAGATGCTTCTCGCGTCCCTGGGCTGCCCCTCTTTCACCCCACAAGCATTTTTTGTCTCGAGCACAGGGCTCTCTTACCTTCCTCGGCTGGCTGCAGAGAACTTGTCCGGACAGAAGTGAAAGTAAACTTCTGTGAATCCTGTTTCGCTTTCTGTGCTTTAAATGTTTGGGCCAGGAATGAACTCTACCCACGCTCTGAGTGAAGGTCTGGGGGGACCTTCGGGCGTACGTGGACTTCGTGGCGATCGCTTCGGACCCCCGGACGCTCTTCCTGGATGGCCCAGCTGCCCCAAACGGTCAGGGAAGAGTCCCTGCCGTTCCCTGAACGCTGCTTTCTGCCTTATTGCTCATGTGCTGACAGGTGTGCACCTGTGCTATAAGGCCCATGGCTTATTCTCATAGATGCCTCTGGGGGTTTCCAGTGGAAGGCTACTGGCTCAACGAAACAGGGCCGTTTGCTGAAGATCAGCATTGAGTGCCCGTCATAGAAAACGTGAGCCAGTGGGTCAGGAAGGGGTGGGGGTGGGCTACAGATAAACAGATAGCCAGGGAATCTTGGATCTCTGCTCACCACCACCATCGCACCGGGGGGGGGGGCTATAAGGCCCATGGCTTATTCTCATAGATCCCTCTGGGGGGTTCCAGCGGAAGGCTACTGGCTCAACGAAACGGGGCCGTTTGCTGAAGATCAGCATGAGTGACCATCATAGAAAACGTGAGCCAGTGGTTCAGGAGGGGGTGCGGATGGGCTACAGATAAACAGATAGGCCAGGGAATCATGGATCTCTGCTCACCACCACCATCGCACCGGGGGGGGGGGATCACAACACAGCTGTTTCCCCATTTCCAGCTGTTGATGAACTACTGGATAGTCCAGTGGCTGAGGTCTCTGGTGGCAGAGTCAAGAGGTCGGGGGTTCGATTCCCCCACGGGGCCTCTTTGACAAGGGGTGGACTCGGTGGTCCCATAGGGTCCCTTTCCAGGTCTGCAGTTCTAAAATTTATTTATTTAAACCTCAAGCCCACCATTTAAGCCCAATGAAAACACGGGCCCAAGCAAAAACACCACTGAGGATGTTTCCTTGTTGGGGAAGAGAAAGGCGAACTTTGAACCGCAAAGCACAAGATATGCCCTTGGTCTAGATGGGCGGGAGAAAAATCTAATCAATAAATAAGAATGAGTGGATGGGTGGGGTTGAATAAAAGGTAGCCTTCTTTTGGGTCAAAGGTTTCACAGCCTTCTTGCCACAACCCTTTGGGGGGGGGACCATGTGAACATGACAGAGGGCATCTCCTCCGTTCCATTAACAGTGGAAGGAAGATTTAAATTGCAGGCTCATCATTTAAGAGTTAGAAAATGTTGTCCCGCCCCATTTCCCCTCCCCAAAGTCTCTGCATCTGCAGAGTCAACCATCAATGCCTCCCCCAAATGACCAAGCAAACGCAAGCGAATCTTCAGCTTGTAGACCTGCAAAAATCTCATGGCAGGAAAAACAGACACCTTTTAGCACTTAAGGCAGCTTTACTTCCAACAGGGAAGCTGGCTTTTTGCCTGCTTCTGCCCCAAAGAGGCCTCACTAGCAGAGCTGAGAATGGATGTTTTGTAAACCATTTCCCCCACGCTGGAAATGCTGAGCGTCCAGGGGATTGTGTTGCACCAGGTAAACTTACCGTCCGGGTCTCTCCTTTCAGGTGATTCAGGGGCTGTAGCATCTTCTTGGCAGCTCCCAAGGTTTGACAAGCAACAAAGTCTGGGTGCAGCATTCAACTGCATTTTTTCACTTCATCTTTTTTAGATGCTGATAGCATGNNNTATATATTTGGAAAGCAGACATGCTATCAGCATCTAAAAAAGATGAAGTGAAAAAAGAAAACGGCAGCAACCGTTCGGAAGTTCACACATGCAGTTTCCTCATTTAATTGAAAATTTTAATAGAGCTTCCAAGTAAACCCAACTGCAGATGGACAGATATGTATTTAATGCTAGCACAGGAAACACTGACCCGCTGCAGTGCCTTCAGAAAGCAAAAAACATCATCTGGGCCTGAGTTTTAGTTCTTGAACGGTTATTACAGGTCCTTAAGACCAAGGGGAGCAGAGTCAAACTTTCAAGCGTACGTATATTGGGAATTTCCCCAAAGCCAAGCAGAACAAGACTGTTTGGGCTGCCAACCTAAACTCCCAGCAAGGATGGGACTGGTCCATGGCTGGAAGACTTGCAACTCCTCCAGAGGTCACTGGGCAGTGGCAACTCCCATGGGCCCCAGGTAGTCTAGTCAAGCAGCAAGGGAGGATGGGATGTGCAAGCCAACCACATCTGGAAGGCCATCCCAGCCTCTTCCCTGGGCAAGTCCCACGACCTGTAAGAAAGGATGGGTTCCATTTCCACTATTTTAAAAAAACAATCTCTTTTCAAGAGACGACACGAATGCCAAAAGAAGAGGGTGAAAGGTTTGGAAGCCAAGCCCTGCGAGGCAGCGGTGATGTCATTCAGAGAAGAGGAGACAAGATAGTGGAGGGAGAGGAAGGGAGGTGATGAAGGCCAGCTGGGAAGGTTCAAAAACCTGTCCCAGAAAAGGTGGCATAAGCAGGACCACATCAATGGATCCAAATGACAAGGAATGCAGATAAATCGTTGGCTTCCCAGGTCACTTGGCAAGACTTGTTGGCCCATCAAAGGGGCTGCCTGGAAATGGGCAGAATCTTCTTCTTGCTCAGCATTTTTAGGCAGAGGTTGGAGAGGACTCTGTCAGAGACAAGGGGATTTCCTGCTTGGTTGGTATGTGTGTGTGTGTGTGTGAACTCCCTGACCCTTTAGGGTCCCTTCCGCCTCCAGGACTCTTTGCCAGTCTCATCATCATCAAAACGGCCAGTCAACCTGCTGGTTATTAGGTTTTGGAAGCTGTAAGCCTACCCAATAGGGTATTTTCCCTCTCTGGACCTTTGGGGCCGCTTGGCCAGAGCCTGTCAAGCTAAGCCGATCCCTGCCCTGGGGGAGTTCAGCGATGGGCAATGACAGGGGGGAAAATCAGACGAAGAAGGAGACAGAAAAAGCCAGGGCGGTTGGATGAACTGAGAACACGGCAGAGCCTTGAAAAGCGGCTTGGGTAGACTACAGCTCCCAAGAGGCTCTTGAGAGATTCTATTTTTGGACATGTAAAAGAAACAAGAATTGGCCGTCCTTGCTGTGTTCCTTGTTCCCTTTCAATGAGCGACGGCAACCTCTGCGAGGCATATTTCAGACGTGTTTGTGCGGCATGGTTGACTGCCGAAACATGTCGTGACGGGCAGCTGCCAGCGTCTACGGTTCTTGACCAACGCCTCGCCTTTCTTGGCGGTGCCTGTTACATAAACAGAGCTCAGCCAGGAGTTCTCTGAAACCACGTGGTTTATTATCTATACGGTCAAAAGTATTTCCAAGGCTACAGATGTCTTTAAGAGCTGCCAGGGCCACCGAAACATGACAGAACGATCTGGCGCTGCGGTTCTTTCCTGGACAAATGCAGAATACGCCCCACCAGATTTGGTGTCTGAAAAAAACATTCTAAAGGAGCTGAATTGTCCGTAAGTCAACCAGGAGACAAGGCGTCTTGCAGGAAAGCAAAACTAAACTGACCAAAATAAGGACCCTGATGTTTGTGAAACACGAGCAGTAACAATAGAAACAACAGCGCCCGACAGGTGTGACAGCTCTACACTAGGGTTGGAAAAGCGTGACATTTTTCCTGGTTACTGGGATATTTAAACATTTTACTTTGCCTTATCGCTCAAGGTTTTTTAAAGTGTGGAAAGTTACATTTTAAGTACCCTGCAGCCTATTTTTCAAACTTGTTTGAGACAGTTTTGTTGCTTTTCCTTAGTGCAAGGCAATGTGGAAATGTTTCAAATAAACCAAGCAAGCCGGCACCCCAGAAATCATTGCTCCCTCTCCCCTCGCTAGGAAGATAGGACAGGAAATTTCAGCGGGCTGAGACTGTTACTCAAATCACAGTAGCCAATTCAGGAAGAATTAAAAGAAAAGCCACCCCTGGTTCCCTGATTTCAGAGATTAAATGTGTTTAAAACACAGGTATTTATATATTTTAAATGGTGGCTGCCTAAATACATAGTTCCTACTGCTTTTCCTTAAATTATTATTCGTTTGATTTCAATTGCATTGGCTTTGCTTATGTATTTGCAATCCTTTGTGGGTTGATTTGGAAGCCAAAGAACAAAAAGCAACCCTTCTGGATGAGATATCTATGTGCTGTGAAAGATCTATTGATCGATCGGGAAGGGTGCCGTGAGGGCATGTGGGTGGCCTTCTTGACAGCACACCTGCCAGGTGGTTTCCTTGAGATCTTGAGTCTGAACCAGACTTCAAGGCCACCCCTGAAAACAAGGAGGGCGACCCTTTTCAGGGTTTTGAGATGCCTCCAGGGTTCTTGTCGGTCAGCCTGACCCCCAACACCACACTGGCAGACCCTCTCCAGTGCTGGATCCAGACCCACTAAACCTGGTCCGTTCCAGAGGGCCCCCTAGGGTTGGTTACCCCCAGATGGGTCTGAAGGCAAGCGATGTGTCCCAACAAAACCGGCTGCTGAAGTTCCTCGAGGCCTCCCCAATAAGGCTTCCTTCATAACCCGCCACAAGATGCTGCAACTTAGGTGGGGTGGCTTTGTTCTTTCCAAGGTTTCCTGTCTTGTAGATTCTTGTTGATCTCCCTGAGGCATGGGGCTTGTTCCTGGCGGGAGAGGGGAACCCGGCTACCTGACATTTGAACAGCGGTGTGGTTTTTCCGGCACATTTTATTTGCACCTTTGGGGCTGTCTTGCATCCAGAGAGAATCACAGGCCCAAAGACGTAGCTTGCTTGCCTTGCCGGGAAATGGGTCTTCTCCCCCCACCCACCCCCTTTGCCCTTGGCAAGCTGGTGTGGGCGCTTCGGCTTCCCCTCCTGGATCCTTCCTCCTCGGTTCTGGCTGGCCCTCCCTCTTTCTGCATCATCACCGGCCCTGCTTCTGTTCCCATGGCAACGGACCAGGTTGGAGGACCTGGTGAAGCCGCTGCTGCTGCTGCTACTGCAGCATCACTTCTCTGTAGAAGTGGGAAGGAGGAGCAGCGGGAAAAGGAGGCCCAGCTGTGAGGATGAAGCAGGTGGGGAGGAGGGAAGCCGGGCGGTGGGGGTGGTAAATGATGGGGGTGTCTGGATTATGGGCTGTCACTAGGCCTGCAAAAAGGGTGTGTGTAGGGGGGGATGTATAGGTATCTGGGGGGAGACTCGCCCTGTCGTCAGAGGGGAGCCAGTGAGGAAGTCGTGGGGCCTTGGGGAAGAATGAAGTAGGCTTGGTGGTGGTGGTGGTGGGGTTCTTGGCAAGCCAGAAGGGGGTGTGACACCCCGAGAGATTAAGAGGGCAGAATGAAGGCCCTCGTTGGAAAAGGGAAGTGGCAGGAAGAGCTGCCTTTACGTCATGGAAGCCAGAGATGTCTCTGGGAGCGTTTCAGGTAACTGCCGGGCTTTTCTCTTCAGAGCCCCCTCCGTTCCTCTCATGTGCCCCCACCCTGCGAGAAACAAGATCACCGGACTGATGTTAATCATATTTATTGGGAAGGTGTGCTTTCCTTCCCCCTCTGTGGACAACCTCGTCTTGTATTGTGTTTTGATTTCCCCCTAAACCGGTCTTTCCACTAAGAGGACAGGCCCCCCCTAAGCAGCACATGCTGGGGCTTTCCAATCAAAGTAATGATTAACTCCTGTTCTCTCAGCAATTAAGATTCTGAGTTGGCGTTCGGCCGAGTATTCTGGACAGGGGCCAGTCCTCTCCTCTCTTTCCCCCATCAATCCCCTTGGCGTGAGTGCTTTGCACCATAGGTGCGGTTTTTATTTCGGAATATTTTCTAACAACCTGGGGTGGAACTCACCAGCTGATGTTGTCAAACGCGAGAGGCTCAAGATCTCTTTTCTGGTCAGAAACCCATTCATATATAGGCAAGACAGGACAGGGGGGTGGGTTTTTTTTTTTTTAAAGAAAAACACCTATATTTCAGAGTGTCCACCCTTCTGCAATCTAGTTTGGAGAGATCCTTTCAAAGGTCTTGGCCAACTTTCTGCTTCATGTTCTTCTCATCACTCCAAAGCATTAATTGGACACCATGCATGTCACTTTATCCTTTGTTCTTTAAAATCCTTATCCTGTAAATAACGAGTCCTCCAGTCCAGTAGTTCTTAACGTTGGATCCTTCAGAATTTTTTTACACTTTTGCTTTCAGAACCCAAGTAGAGAGGTTAAACAGCGGAAAGGCCAAAGGCTGGTTGTATCGGTTTACCTTAAAAGGGAGACACAGGGCCTTAAATCTTAATATATACAGTATATATTCCTTTATTTACTGGCAAGGCAGTGGGGGAAGATGCTTCCACATGTCTCTGTCTTGGCTGCCAGCTTCCAGTTGCATACTGGTTACTCCATCCACACTGCCTGTCTTGTCATGCGTCTTTCTTGTGCGCGTCTACCTGTCTTTTCCAGACTTCTACAGACGACACAGAGGATGTTTCTCTTGATTTTGGAAACGAGGAGGAGCTGGCATTGAGCAAAGCAAAAATCAGGTAAACCCAGCAGGAGGTTGATGAAGTGAGGGATGCATAAGCCGTGGTGGATCAAATACGTTTGCTCTCGACGTGCAGCCTCCGCACTAGGCTTTTTAAATTATTCTTGATAAAAGGAACAAACTGGTTAGTGGGCTTAAGTAGAAATCTAGCGGCAGGTGGCTCCTGCAGCGGGCACGCTTCCGTTGGTTCCTCCAACAGGCCCATCTTGTCTTTGCTGTTTTGACAAACAAACCCTATCTGGAATTCTTTGCCAGCCCTTCTTGGAAGTCCCTGGTATTTTTGGATAGACTCCCATCGAGATACTATGCGGTCTGACCCTGCTTTGCTTCCAAAGGGGGCTTCCGTGATTCAACAAACCAACCCACCCAGTCATTTCGATTAAATGTTGCTGCCCTGCTGCTAAAAGCCCTCGAACCTACTCAGGGATTTTTGGTAAATGATCTTTACCGTGACAAATGGCTAAATGAAACCTTGCCGTCTCTCTTGGGTGCATACGTATAATGAATGTACTGATGGGTACTCATTTTACCAACCTCAGAAGGATGGAAGGCTTAGTCAAACTTGAGTCGGCTACCTAGGACTGAACCCCAGGTCATGAGCAGAGTTTTGGCTGCAGGACTGCCGTTGAACCCCCGCACCATGAGACTCATTAGCCTATATATACTTTGTAATGTCACTTATATTGTTTTGACATGGCAGGCTGTTCTCCCGGCTGTCTTACTGATCAGCTGCAAAATGGACAAGGTGGTTGCTGCTGTTGTTAACACACCACCACAACAGGAGTTACCTCTGATACCAAAAGCACAGGAGAATCGCACTATTTGTGTCTTGCTTTAGGGAGCTTCCTGGTGGTCAAGCAGTGAGGAGACCCTGCAAAAAAAGGGGCTTTTTAGACCCCTCCCCGTTTTGACCCATTTGAGTGCAGGCTGCACCACAATGCCTACAAAGCTGCAATACCCACAACTTTGTTGACAAAGGAGCTGCGTCGGCCTTCCTTGTGGATGGGAAGGGAAACTGTGTGGTTGCAGGCTTCTGTCAAAAACATGGCTAGATGCAACCTAGAGATCCCTGGGGAAATGAGAAAGCTGGGATTTGGTTTCAATGCAGAGAGGAGAGAGAGAGAGAGAGATCTTTGGCGTGATGGCAAAGAGATTGTTATTTAGAAATGCAAAAATTATTAAGTTCTTTAAAAGATTGAAAAGGGCTTTTAATTAACAAGAGCACACTTCTTAAGCCACTAAAAGCTACAGATTTTCTAGGAGTAAGAAGGAAAGTCCTGATCTAACTGGGAATCTCTTTGGCACAGAGGGTGACTCTCCACCTGACTCGCTAGAGGTGCCAGGTTCAAGACCAGCTACAGGATTGAACCAGACTGTGGGATATATTTATTTTTTTCCTCCAAACCCTTGGTGAGCCTTGGTAGGCTGAGAAGGAATCAACCGCTTCTCCCCTCTCCCCTGAGAATTTCAAATTAAAAATCTTGGAATTATACTCTCGCTCTCGCTCTCTCTCCCTCGCGCTCTCCTAGGCACCCCCTGGCCACCTTCTTCCACCTCTTCTTCCGAGTGAGCGCCATCCTTGCCTACTTACTCTGTGACTGGTTCAGCCAGAGTTTCGTCGCCTGCTTCGTCATCATCCTCCTTCTCTTGTCCTTCGACTTCTGGTCTGTGAAGGTAAAGAGCCCTCTGGCCGGCCACAAATTCTTCCGTTGGGCCCCTTTGGTTTGCCATGGAATGGGGGGGTGGACGTTACTTTTTCAGGACCCATCAAGCAGTTGGTATGACTTTAAAAAGTAACTTTTCCAAGTGTTGTGTCTCCCCCATACAACTCTGGATGCTCCCTGCTATTTGGGGATAGCAGCCTTTGGACTCAAATTTTCAAATTTCTTTAGTCCCAGAACACAACGTGACAAAATCCTTTTTTATGAGGTCTCTAATCATATATTGGAGCGAAGGGATTAAAATCCGAGGGACGGTTGTCCCCTTTAAGATGGCGCAGCTGAGCATGCCCAAAATGTAGACTAATTGACGAAATGCCTATTTCCCCCTCTGAATTGCCAATGGTTTTTTTTTTTTTCCTGTCCCCTCAGAATGTGACCGGACGGCTGCTGGTCGGCTTGCGATGGTGGAACCAAATTGACGAGGACGGGAAGAGCCACTGGGTGTACGAAGCAAAGAAGGTAGGCCCCGAAAATGACTTTTTCCTCTAAAGAGGTGTGTGTGTTTACGTCCCTTTTCTCCTGAGGAGTCCAAGAGGCCACAGTTGCAGGGGATGCAAACGTTTTATCTGCTCCCAAATGACGAAGAGATAGTGACCGGACAAAGTCTCTCCCCCCCCTCATCCGCCCCACCCACAACCTCCTAGTTTTAGAGGTGAAGATCACTCAATTTATGGGAAGCGATTGGCTGGGTTGCTCGGTGGTTTAAGTCTTGGGTTGCAGACAAAGAGGCTGGGAGTTCGATTCCCTCCTGCGGCTCCTGAGAGAAGAGCCAACCTGGGTAGCCCTGGGCCAACCGCCCCCCCCCCCAGAGCTGCCCCCAGAAGAAGGGAATAAAACCACTTCTGAGCATTCTCGACTTGGAAAGACCCTGAAAGGGGTCACCGTCAGAGTTGACTTGCCGGCACATGATGATAATGATAATGATGATTAAACATAAATAAGCCTTCAAACCACACACCGTACGCCAGTGAGGTTCAGGAATCAGGGCACCACCCCCAACTCTCATGATAATTACAAAGTTTTAACCCCGGCTTCACGGTCTGCAGACCGCATGGGGCAAACCAATGTTTTGAAGCGGCTCACATGATTTTTGCTTTGTTTGAAGTTTTGGGACCAACATAGCTACCAGATTCTAAGGAAGTTTATAGCCACATATGAGGAAGCGAATCTATCTTCTTAGAATTAAGACTTTACGCTCCGCTTGTTCCCATTTCTGCAGAATTTTTCTGGTGTGGTTTCTGCAAAGCATTGAGCTGAAGATATCACACCCAGTATCTACTTNNNNCCCCCCCATCTCCCTCCAGGTCCCTTGCGCTGGACCTGCTCCCACAGAAGCAGAGGCTCGGATCTTCTGGCTGGGCTTGATCATCTGTCCCGTCATCTGGACGCTTTTCTTCTTTAGCACCTTGTTTTCGCTGAAGTTGAAATGGCTGGTAAGGAGGAGGAGGAGGAGGAGGTCCCGCTGGCATGAAGGGGGAAAAAAGAGCAAGCGGTTTGAGCTCTTCTCGCCCACACGGCAGTGTTTTGCAAGCACTAAAGGTGGCTTTGCGAATAGCCAAATCTGAAGGCCTGCAGGGCAGCCATATTATTGAAACTCAAGAGGAGAACCGGCTGGCTCTCACCTGCGCCTGGGCACGACAGCAGATTGGGGCCTGTCTCAAGCACCCCAAACGCTGAGAGTTAGGGCGTTCTTGAAAGAAACAAGAAAAATAAATGTGACTTCCAGTGACCAGGAGAGAACCCATTCTCCAGCATCTTTTAAGTGGGTCCCACAAGATTCCTGCAGATCTAATCTCACCTGGACTTTATCAGGTGCTCCTCCCCCCTTTGAGGCAGAACATGCTCTTGTACAGCCAGAAACATACACTATATAGGTCTAAATATACTTTTTAAATATCTATATTGAATATAGATTGATATATATTGATCAATATTGATTTAGATTAGTGTGTGTGTATATACACACACACACTAATCTATATAAATCAATATCTATCCATCAATATATCCGTATCTATCAGTCCATCTATATACAATATAGATATTTTAAAAGTACATATATAAAAACCAAGCAAGTTCAGATTCACAAGAACCAGACTTCTTTCCCCCTTGCTGCCTTGTGTAGTTGTGACACACCACAGTGGGGCCTAAGAGGCTTCACATCGATTTATGCCAGGTAGGGCTACCTGTTCACCCGGCACAGAGCATGGAACAGCATCCTTGCTTTGGACCGCAGCTTCCAGAATCTTGTACACTTCATGGAATGCCTCATCAAGACACCTGATTCTGGCTGCCTGGGATTTCCCTTATCCTCATACCTTGCATTTAGCATGCTTTGTTTTGTGACCCGTCGCTAAAAAGTCAACATGGGTTGAATTTGCCCGTCTTGACAGCCAGGGTGCATCTCTCCAAGGAAATGTCATTGTGGGAATGAGAACAGGCTACTGCAGTCAACACACATCACTATGTAATGTCTACTGGGCCCTTTCTGGGTCTCGGCCGTCTCCAGTCTCACTGGAAGTACTGTCCAGACCAGGTGTGAAACGCAAGACAGACTCGGAAGTCTGGCTCAAGGACGGACTGATCCTTCCACCCCATGTTTCTGTTTTGTTCTAGGCGCTGGTGATAGCGGGCATCTGCCTCCAGGCTGCTAATCTCTATGGCTACACCCTCTGCAAACTGGGAGGCCTGCAGAGCGCCCAAAAAGTCACCTCGAGGTTTCCAGGAGAGGAGATGTTCCAGAGGGTGAGTGGCCGCAGTTTGTGGGGGCAAGAGCCGTTCAGACCGACTGACCATTGAACTATATCCCACCCCCCAAGGCAGAAGCAGGAACACAAGTCGCAGTGTGGGTACAATGAAAATATTGACCTTTTTATGGTGTGGTGTTGCCAGGGTCCTGAGCACACACACACCCCAGTACTCTCAGGATCGGCAAACTGCAGGCCTTCAGATGCATGAACTTTAAAGGCCATTTCTGCAGCCCTAGATGCTTTACTGCTCACTTCCGAGAAAAGCCAGTCAGCAAAAAATGACATTTTCTCCTCCTCGACCCTTCAGGAGTGCTGTTCTGTGTGAATATGGGGTGCAAATCCCCCCAAAGGAAACTAGAAAAGGGAGTAAGGCTACAGGCCACTTCCACTTGCGACTTAAAAATAATATATTTTTTTCGCTTGTTTGACGGCCCTTGGTGGAAAGCCGTTAGTCCCGAGGGCAGATAATTGAGGGTGCATCTCCCCAACCCCTCATCTAGAGTTGTTGATCCCTGAAGAAGCCTAGGCAGCATGAAAGAACGGACTAACTCCCAAGGTGCTAGTCCACGGTGGTTTGTTCAGAAGCAGCTTTCGAACCAAGGTGAGGACTTGGTTCCCTATCATTTTCAAAGCATCTGACTGGTCACGAGCCATTGGGAAGACATAAAATTCGAAGTGAAAAGAGAGGGAGGATGGCATGCCACAGGCAAGTCACGACGACGCTCTTTCCACGGGGAATGTAATTTTTTTAAATGCCAGGGGAAGTGTCCAGTGCAGTCAGTCGCACGACTGGGAACTTGTGATGGGAAACCCGCTCCACAGTGTAGGAGGACCCCGGAGCCGACAGGACACCTCTGCTCCTAGAAACACAGAAACCTCAGCCTTCCCTGCATCCTCTTGGAAGCGGGGGGGGGGGAGAGATCAGCTGCTCTTGCAAAGCAGACTTCTAACACGGCATGGGGACAGGGCAGTGCTGTCTTCCCAGGCTGGTTCCCATTTAGAGAAAGGTTTTGACGCAGAACTGGGGTCATCCGGAACTGGTCTTTGGGTGGTGGTGGGGAAAGGATCATTGCCAATGTGGCCTCCATGGTGGGGCGGACGGCTGTGAGCTGGTCGTGCCAAGAGGAGGAGAAAGCCAGCCATTTCTGTACAGCAGAAGGGAAGGAGTCGATGGCAGTCACTGACAGTGGGAGGGGGAGAGGCCGAGCAGCACTCCGTCCACTCCTCAAATTGTGTGGGTTGAGCACGACACACCGGCAGAACCTTGTCTGCCCCGCTAGCTGCTCATTCTGAAGGGATTTGGGCTACCGGGAGCCAGACACACAACCAATTTTATTTATTTTGCAGGAAATGCCGGATGAATTTCAGAAGGCTGTTCGGAAGGGAATGGGGACATGGAACCACTAGAGGGAACCAAAAAAAGTGAACGACTACGGGGTCAGGAGCATTTGGAAGTTACCCGTCCTTGCGCTAAATCACAAATAGTTGTGTTTTGCTTCAGAAGCATTGTTGTAACCGCAGAGAAGTGCAACGGGTTCTTGCTTTCACATCTTCTGTTCGCACCCAGCAGCCCCCCCCTCACCCCAAGCCAGGCACCAATGGCAATCCCCTCCAAACAACCCCATCCCCAGCGTGAGATTCTGCATCTCTGACTGACTGGGAAGGAACTGAAACTGCCTCCTTCACCCACAACAAAAACCCCTGTTTTTCAGAGTCATCAACTAAACGGTCTCTCCGGACTGGGGCTCTGGTCGCTTTGCCAAAACTCCCGCCAGAAATCGGCAGCTGCTCCAGAACCCGGCAGAGCGGCTGCCAAAAGGGGGGGGGGGACACCTCCCAGCTGCTGACTTTAAGCCCATCAGTGGCTCCCGGTGCAGGCAGATACAGCCTGTGGGTCTTGGCCGTCACAAGGCAAAGTACCAAGGAAGAACAAACTGTGGGCAGGCACATTACGCTAATAATAATCGTCACATGCCATCAAGTCAAATCTGACTTACGGTGACGCTTTTCAGCAGTTTCGAGGAAGAGAACACACGGATGTGCTTTCCCATTCTCTCCTTCTGGGGCCACCACCGGGACTGTGCAGCTTGCCCAAGGCCACCCAGGCTGGCTTTTCTCCTGGCAGGCATGGTCGTGGATTTCAACTCTTCACCTTTCGTCCTGCAGCCAGATTCCTAAAGGACTGAGCTATCCGGCCAGCTCTATGCTGCAGAACGTTAAAAATAAAACTAACCATCTTCTATTTAAATTATCCCCCTTAAACGTACATCTATATTATTCCAGAGAGAGACCAATGCCCAGGAGACCTGAGCTCATGACAAACCAACACTTAATACAATGGACAACTCTGCACTGACAAAAACAACCAAAAAATGCAGTGGGAGCTAAAAGTGACAATAAGGAACACTCTGTACACAGGGAGATGGAGATGTTAAATATAAACAGACCTTGCATTTCACAAATGTCTGGTTTTACTGTTGAAGATAGTTGTCATTAAGGATAATGAGAGGGGAGCTGTCCCCTCTGGCAAAACAATGCCCCTTCTGAAAGAAAAAGGTGCGATATAAATTTTGTAAAAAGCAAAGTAGCACTTGTTACTCAAGTTTAATTGGAAAAAAGGCTTCATATATTTATTTTATTAAATTTATTTATTAGATTTCCACCCCGCCCCTCTAGACTGTGTCTACTCGGGGCGGCTTACAAATAAAAGACAAATATATTTCTGTAGCAAGAGGCTTTAAAGTGTTTGGTGCTTCACTAGGACTTCTAGATTTCATGCACTGCTCAAGTGTTTTCTTCTGGCTGTCTGCCGTTATGGCTGCAGTAGTCTTGGATTCCTGCAGGAACAGAGAAGGAGAGGTTAAGTCTGCTGCTTCCTCACAACCTTCATGTCCTAGAGCCTGGAAACCCAAATCCATGGGGACCCCTTGTCCTCTAAAAGAGGGGCACAGCCAGTCCTTCAGTCTGCGTCTGGATGAAATGCTGGGGAACATGCATGCACACACGCACTCAAACATGCACCATAAAGGTTTGCAGCAGAGATACTGCTGTTGGATTGCACCCTGCAAGCTGGCCTACAACCACGTTCGTCACCCAATCACTCTGAAGGGCCCTGTTCACTACCCACCCTGAAGCGGGAAATCTAAGTCTAGCTAATTTTCTTTTTGCAAAAGGAGCAATGAGATTTCTGCTCCTAATTAAGTGCAGGTGCTAGAGTGTTTCTTTCTTTCTTTTTTTAGAACCAAGCTGGAAAAGTTTTGTTTCTACTAAAACATCCAGAGTGCCCTAAGCAGCATTTCAGATTTGCAGCTCAAGAGAATACCACCTCTGGGTTGTGAGACTAAAGCTTTAAAGCTTTACTCATTTGGATGACAGCTTCCAGAATCTCCACCCAAATTGTACTGTCGCTGCAGTTCAATGACAGGGAGCAAACTTTTGGCTATTAGACGTTTGCACAAAAAAAAAAAAAAAAAAAAAAAGTCATGTTGGCAACCGGTTACATCTCACTCAATCTGGTAAAGATTCTTTCAGCACCCAGAAATCTATAGCCTAGAATGGTGTGAAGAGGTGTAAGGCAACGCGGCTCTCAGGCCAGTTGCTGGCATCTCTGGTGGCCTGAGCGGTGGTGGAACCTGGCTGGCTTCTCGCCCAAGAAGGAAATGGCCAGCTGCAAGACTCTTGGGAGGGGAGAAGGTTCCACTTGAAGTTTTGCCCCGTCAGAGACAGCTTACGTAGGAAAGACACTCCCCAAGATTCTGGACTCACTTTGGATGATGTTTCTGTAAGATGATGCAGCTGGAGAATTTGGCACGGCGGAGAAGAATGACTGTCCTTCATCACAGCTTTTTCCTAGCAGAGGGACAAAGATAAGAACAGAATCAAGCAATGTCTAGTGATGGTTGCTGTGGGTTTTTCAGGCTCTTTGGCCGTGTTCAGAAGATTTTTCTTCCTAACGTTTCGCCAGTCTCTGTGGCCGGCATCTTCAGAGGACTGGAGTCAGAATGCTGTCTGCTCTGTCTCCTGTCCTCTGTCAGCGTTCCGAGTCCTGTCCTCTGAAGATGCCGGCCACAGAGACTGGCAAAATGTTAGGAAGAACAACCTTCAGAACACGACCAAAGAGCCCGAAAAACCCACAACAACCATCAGATCCTAGCTGTGAAAGCCTTCGAGAATAAAATGTCTAGTGAAATACACAATCACTGTTGTTTTTAGCTCAATACTGTCACTTTTGCCTTGCGCTTCTTTATCTTCCTTCCAAAGAAGCCCACGATTCAGGAATGGGCCACCTGGGGTGGGAAAAGGTGGCGCTTTTGCAACACCACTGTCCTCTGGGTGGCAAAAGCAGGGGTGAAGGATGATGAAGGCTGCAGCACAAGAGCACACGGAGGGTCACAGCCACCCATGCTGATGGTAAAGCTTTGTTCTCGCCAGTATGCACTTTTAGACCAAGCAGGTCGAGTCTGACTGCATTTTACAGCAGGAGAGGACGAGCAAACACGAAACAGTATCCCGAATCCCACACTAACCTATTTGAGGATCCAAAGGTATTTTCCCCAGTAGAGGCACGTTTAAACTTTTGCACATTGCCTCTGCACCTCCAGTCGTAGGCGGGAATATCTGCGATTCTTTCTGTGGAAAGCAAGCACCATTCAGGTTTTTTAAAAAAATAGGTTGGCTTATTTAATCTCTTGAGGTATTGCTACTTTCTTTTCCATTCTGACGAACCACACCTGATCAAAACAGAAGCATATGGAACATTTTCACCTTATATAAATGCCCCAGATTCCCTCTGCTCATGCTGTTATGTACTGCCAAGCTGAAACCGACATATATTGATTCTAATAAAGGATTGAAGGCAAGCAGAATATTTAAGGACTGGTTTTGCTGGTGCTACTCACCCCATGTGAGTTTCCACGGCCAAGCACAAATTCAAACCCAGCTCTTAGCCTGTCTCTCTACCTGCTACACCACACTGGGTAGCCAGTTTCAATGGGCAACCCTTATTTAAATGTTCAAGGCTCCCAGACGGCGAGATGACGTCTTAAGTTCCAAATAGTCCTACGAATGATTACCTTACACTTTGGGCAGACAAAGCCACTCATATTTTCGACAACTCCTACGATGGGCAGCTTCACTTTACGGCAGAAGTTGATCTCTTTCCGAACATCCTGTAGCGCCACTTCCTGTTTAAAGCAAAACAAAAGAATTTCCCCACAGAACGTGGATCCATGGACGTGTCCCACTCATTCGAAAACTTTTCCTACTCGGGTTTCCCTCCCCAGCGTAAAAACAAAAAAGCAAGAGAAGCAAAGCCACCCGTTCCTGTTAATATAGCCCCTACATACACACATTTTCCTATTAAACTCCTCTTGTGCAGTTCCTAGCAGCCCTATCCAAATACTGGTTCAGCTCTCCCTCCTATCCATACACACGGACATTTTCCACCTGGCCTCCTCAGGCTCTGGAAATTCAAGAAACCCTCCTCATAACCCTGTTCTGTACCCAGCTTGTAGTTGGGGAGGGGGCAAGGAGGGGCCCCAGAATGGTTTCATTTCTGTAAAATTATGCTATGGAACCATGAAATCTTAACCATGAATTATGATAGATTGCTGCCCCCTGCAGCCAGTTTTGGACAAAACCACACAGCAGTGAACCTTATTTAATTTACTGTTGTTATATGTACACAGGTGCCAGAGGAAAAAAAACTCCTGTCAGATTTTTGATTCTATTTCTTTTAAAAAAATTAATTCTTTTTAAAATAAAATACAACATAAAATATTTAAGCCAATTGTATTCTATTTCATAAGCTATTATAATTCTTCAATTAGGTTAGTGGCAGTCCAGAAAAGAGGGCTAGCTTAAGAGGCTGAAGCAGACAAGAGGGCTCTGGATCAGGGAAACGCTTCTTAGGTTGATTCGCCATCCCTTCCATCTTTGTAAAGGAATGGCAGTGACCACTTCACAGGGATGTCGTGAAAGTTTTTTTTTTGTGCAGCTAAAACTGAGATGACTGCAAAAGAGGAATAAATTATTGCAACAAGGGAATACACTGAAGTCAAATCCGTGCTCACTTCTCCAAAGGCTCCTCTCCACCCCAGCCAGTTCAAACTGGGAATTTTGTTGTTTTTAGATTACAAAGAATTGGTACTGCAAAGAAGTAGGAAAATTCACCTATAATCAAACCATTTTTTCCTATTGAAGGTTTAAAAAGAGAGGGCGGGTGTATAGCAAGACTGATTTGAACTCCACTGAATTTTTCATAGTCATCTTTGCTAGCCATGACTGAAGGTCGTGCATCATACCTGAGGGGTGGTGATGACCACAGCACCATCTATACCAGCGCCGCCAAGATACTGCACGATGGATAAGTGCTCGTCTGATGTTCCTGGAGGCGTATCCACAATCAGGTAGTCAATTTCGCCCCAGTCCACATCACGGAGAAACTGCTTAATCATACCTTTAAACAGGAAATGCGTCATTAAAGAGTGTGATTGAACTGCAGCCTCCTTTTAAGAACTTTTTAATAGAACCATCGGATGGCACAGTGGCTTAGGCATCTGGCTGTGGAGCCAGAGGTTCCAAGTTCGATTCCCCCACTCTGCCTCTCTTGACCGGGGCTGGATTTGATGATCCAGAGGGCCCCTTGCAGCTCTGCAGCTCTAGGATTATTATGATATTAAGTTATCTGGAGCTCATCTTTTCCTTTGTCCAGATTAGATCATGCATTGATCCAAATTCTTGCCCTCTTCCTGTGGGACGCGAGTCTGAGAAGCAGGTCAAACCCAATGCCAGTCAAAACATCCACTTCAAAACTTAGAATTAAATAATGCCTTCCAGTTTGCATGGTTTCCCCTGGAAGCAATATCCAGTACACAGACAGTGCCCTCAGCACGTGACCTGCAAGTACAAACCGTTCTTTTTAGGGCCTCTCCAAATCACAGCATCATCAGGACTGCTGAGCAGGAACCCCACCGACATAACTCCTAAATTTTCTTCAACATACTGAAAAACAGAAAATAGACATCTGGTGCACAAGATACAGAATGGAGTGTAACAACTGCAGATTCTGCATAGTAGCCTTATTATTCTAGTGTGTTTAAAGTTGCATCTCTTTGTCACACAGCAAGAGAGTACGGTTATATCCAACCTGATTTTACAGGTAGCCGCTAGGTAGTGTAACAATAGTTTAACACAGACAAGGCAAACGGATTAACTAGAATATCTTTATGAAGCAAGAAGAGGATTAATGGATTTATTTAATTTTTTAAAAGAAAAAACTCACCACTGGGGACCATCCAGAACCACTTTGGTGGACCTGCAAATAGGAACAATTTAAGACACAATTCATACATGTTGCTAACTGGACCCGAAGTGAAGTTCAAAGGGGTTTCTATGTTCACAAAGCCAAAAGCTCTGCTCTTTATGGCTGCAAAGTTATTCTTGCAAAAGTGTTCAACAAAAATGCAGAGCACAAGCAAGGAAAGTCATACAAAAAAATCAGACATTATTTTGGATTCCTGAAGACTTCCTACCTGTTCTCCTTCGAGGCCCATGATTTTTGGAATGGAGGGGCCACAAATGTCAATGTCCAGCAGAGCAACCTGAGGAGGGGGAGGAGTGGAAAATGTGTAGCCTAAGACCTGAGCAATATTATATCAGTGCTGACATAAAAACTATACATTAAGTTTATTAGTGCCAGACGTTTTGTGTTTCTGGATTGCAAGTCTGAGATTCATCAAGCAGCATAGTCGTAGCCTTTTATCACTCTTAAAAATCTATACACAGTATTCTGAATACGTACAAACATCTGGCTTTCAAAAATTTCATTTACCAGTTGACAATTTGGCATTTGAATTAAACTGCCAGCACAATTTTCAAGTCCCGGACTTCAAAATGAATCCCCCAACCCAGTCACATGTTGTGGTTACAGCCATCAACAGCTGGTGAAGGAAAAGCAGTAAAAAAACACAAGCACAAAAAAATCACAAATTGTTGTGTGTGCTGGTCTGTAAGTCACAGCTTGGCCCACATATGTGGGACAGAAAGATGGTGACAGCGGCCACAGAAAAATCCACACATTAAAATGCATTGTTATCCCTACTTCCAATATATGATACCAAGCTATGTTATGTCATTTCTGCAACTGTTCTTTCTTGTTGACACGATAATAATAATAAGAAATAACTGTCTCCCTGGCCTATCCGTTTATTACAACACAATTCTGTAGTGCTTAAAAGTGATTTCCCGAAAAACAAAACTCCACACACCTGTTTGGCGTCATCCTCTGCTAAGCCGTGCGCCAACTGAGCGCTGAACGTGCTCTTCCCCACTCCTCCTTTCCCGGACAAGACCAGAAGCTTGTGCTTCACTGTTTTCATTTTTTCTTTGATTTCCTCAATAGCTTCACAGAGAAAAAGGCCAGTCACAGGGTTTGCTTGCAAGGGTTAAAGCACTGCAAGATACACAATCCCTTCCCCTAACCTACATGTTCCGTCCCCATGAATCCTAAGCTTTATGGAGTTTTATCCTTCTACCTATTAAATGATTCCCTTTCAAAGGATTCTCAGCAGCCACCATTCACACTAAATTACGGGAAGAAGGTAGAACTCTACTAGGCGAAAGCTCACAAGCAGAGCCTCTTAAGGTCTGTCCTGGCTCCTGGACTCTGAAGCCTTTATCACTTACGAGCTCCACAGAGCTCAAAGGAGTTTTGTGAACAACACGAAAGGCTAACATGTTCCTTGGGCTTGAGGTTTCATGGACTGCAGCCCACTTGCGGCCTCTGACAGAAGGTGCAGCCATCCACAAAAGTATCTGCCAATTAAAGCTTGTTAATGTTTCAGCTGCCCTCCAAAGCTTTTGGTTGTTTTTGCTACAAAGCAACAGCCTCTGGAAACTAACAACAGGTATTTGAGCACATTTTGCTTGTTTTTGGGGGGTGGGGAGAATTTCTACTGTATTCAGAGGCCCCAAACTATAGCTCACTTCGTCTTGTGCCTTTGGGAAGTACAAGTCTCGCTCCCACGGCAGGCTCTGCTGCAGGCCTAACACACACACACACACACCCCAGCTGGCCCTGTACACCCTGCAGAGATTAGAGAGGGTATTTTTCAGATGAAAATCTCCTTAATTCAGACACTTTCAAAGGATGCTGGTATCTGGAATCGGGGTGGGTGAAAATGTGTCCCTAAACAATAATGCATTTGAATGCCTTTTTAAAGTCACTTTGCATTCTGCCACAAGATTGTTCCAATTCAGCTAGTGGGCTGTAACCTGTAACAAGTTCCTGACAGACTGACAACCTCCCACGTGTTTTTAGTACAGTAACAGTATCATTCATTCAATGTTGACACACTGAATGTATTGATATACAATTTGCATTGATACACAATTGACTCATAGACCGAATACAAGCAAGTGCTCCACCTTACATTAAATGGCAAGGATTTATTTCACTAAAAACATAACACCCCCTTCCCCCTCAAGCCCCCCCTCTTCCCAAATGGAAACGTAACCTGCCCGGCTCGCCACGACTGGCCCAGCAGCCCGCCCTCCTAGGCCTGAGGCTCCTGCGGGGCCTACACAGCCCACAATCCCCCGCAGGGCTCCCTGAGGGAGGGAGGAATGATGGGTGTTGTAGTCCCCCTCCTCCCGCACATGGCGACGTGGCGAGAACTGTCCTCCGCCCCCGACCGACCGGCCAGCCGGCCGTCCCTCCTCCTCCTTCTTTTCCTCACCCGGGTCGGGCCCCGCCAGCCGCCCGGAGGCGCACAGGCCCTGGTTGGGGCATCCTCGGCAGGCGTCGGCCTTGCCCGCCTGGTCGCTGCCGGTGCCGGGGCATTCTGGGAAGGGAGCACAAGAAAGAAGGGCGTCAGAGGGAGGCTAAGGGGAGAACGGGACCGGGGACACGGACCCCCCACCGCCGCAGGCAAGCCCCCCTGCGCCTCACCCTGAGGCGGCACGTCCACCAACGCCGGCCCGGCCCCCTCCGCCATGACGGAAGAACAAAACAGTCGCACTTCCGGTCCGTCGCCTCTCCTCTTCCGGAAAGCGCCGGGACAGCCACTTCCGGGGACATCGTCGCAGGGCTCCGGGATCTCCACGATGAAGCCTTGACGCACTTCCGGGAGGGCGGGCCGACTGTCCCCGAGGCAACATAAAGCCCCGCCCTCCCCGAGGGACGAAGGGCCAAGCGTTGCCCGAGTTCCATGCTCCTAGCGCATGCGTACTCTTGAAGGAGGGCAAGGTGGAAAGGGAGAGAAGATAGAGGGCGGGGCATCCGCATGTCACGTGACCCTAACTGGCGTTTACCATTGGAGGGGTCGATGCCCCTCAGGTTTTGTTTTGTGAGGGAACTGCAAGGCTTTTTCTTTGACAGCAACGGGTACCTTGACACGAGACTACCGTTCACACGTTACATAAGAGGAACCCGGAGAAATATCTGCCCCTTTTGTTCAGTCAAGAGTCTGGGCCTTTTCAAAGACGCAAATGCTTAATGTTCTTTTTATTTTTACGTGGTTAAAGCTTTTTTTGTGGGAGGGAATAAACTCCCCCCCACAAAGTGACACTGTTTCAGCCCCACATCCTCCTCAATATATACATAAACCGTCGAATTAAATTTAGAAAGCAAAGGAGACATCAAATAAGCCACCAGGTCTCCCTCACTATGTAAACCGTCAAATTCAACTTTTTAAAAAGGCAAAACAGTCATTAAATGTATTACCAAGAAGCAGCAAGAACAAAGCAAAATAGTATATTTATTTGAATGCTGCTGTTTTCAAAAATTAAAAAGCTTTCCAAGAATTCCTTCTTAATCCAGTTCCAGGTACTGTACACCATTTCCTTTACGCCAGTGTAAATTGCCCAGAGGATTCTGGCCTTCATGTCTAATTCACCACACAATTAGCAGTCCCTCAGCTTGGCAGCAGCTCAAAGCATCCTAGCCCAAAGAAAAAAAGAAATGCTGCCTTTTGCTTTTGACTTTAATGGAGGGGGAAACAGACCAACCACATTTAAAAATGCAAATAAACCTGGCAAGAACCCACTGAAACACCAGTTAAGGGCAACAGGCTGACAAATTAAAAATAACTCACAAACATTCAAAAAGTTTGGCTCTTTTTTCCCCATCACTCCATATAATGAGATTCACTTATTTAGGCAAGAAAGATATAAGAAAGTGGCATTCCAGAAGCCATGCAACCGACGGGAAAGAAGTTCCTTCCGTGGAGCATTGAGTTACCTTGCCTGATTGCTTTTTAAAGTTTCATTTTATTTTCAGAGGCAATTAGCAAGTCAAGTTTTATGCCATTTTCTTATCAAAATGGCATGCTTTTTTTTTAAAAAAAGTAAGAAACGAGAAGCAACTTGTAGCAAGTTACTAAAATATTATATCCATGACAACAAGTTACTTTCAAGCACTGTAGCAAGTAACAGGAACAAACTGCAAAAAGAACTTTCCAGGCTCTGGTTGGGCCCCCTGACGAAGGATTCGAACCCAGAGGGACCCTCTTTTTGGGTGGTTGCAGTTTTAGCCCCGAATGCAATGCCGATTCTGGAAACAGGTTTGTTTCCAGAACCGGCATTGCATTTGGGGCTAAAACTACTACCACCCCCACCACCAATGGCCAGCTCTTTGGGCTCGCGGTCCCTGTTTGAAGCGTGCCGGTCCTGCCGTTGGGCTTTCCAGACAAGGATGGCAGTGGCTGCCAAGGCTGTGGGCCCATCATGTCCTCCCCTTCTGTGACACCATCGCCAGGTCACAGAGCACCAGGCACCACCAGTGCAGAGGGGCCAAATTTGCACCCAGCTGCTTCCTGGGGCCTGACCTTCAAGGAAGGCGGCCTGCACGGAGGCTCCTTGGAGGATCAGATGGAGTTCCTGGGCACCACCCAGACGGCCAGTTACTGCGGGCCTCGGAAAAGCTGCCTCCTCCCAGAGGTGGCTCCGACCAGCCTCAGTCAGGACAGCTACCAGGCCTATTACCTGCCAGGTTACCGCTACCTGAGTTCATGGCGGCCCAGCTTGTTCTACAAAGTGTCTTCCTTCCGGCCCAATGATGAGGGCGGTGGGCGCCTCTGCCCCTCGCTACGGCCGCCCACCGTCCTGCCTGCAATGAGGTCAGCCTTGTATGCCCGGTACAGCCCCCAAGACTGGTACAAAGCCAACGCCAACCAGATTAAAGGGTCAGAGGCTTACCGGCACTGGGCTGGCAAGCTGAGTGCTGACTCCACGCGGCTCATTCAGGACAAGGACCAGCTGACTCGGCGGCAGCAGGAGGATTCTGGGAAGAACCTCGGGCAGAGGCTAGCCGACATTGATTTCTGGAAGTCCGAGCTGACCTATGAGCTGGAACGGCTGCTGACCGACACGCGGGCCCTGGACACGGCCAAGAGGCGGCTGGAGTGTGCTGCGGATGAAGTCCAGGGACCCTTGCAGGTGGGTGCTGGGGGAACCGCTCCCGACCCTCTTGGTGGGATAGGAAACGACCCACCCAGACTTTTGTGGAGTGGGGTACTCACTTCCCAAAGCAATGTCACAAGTTTCAACAAATCTGCTTGACAGGTGTCATGAATAACGTCTCCCAGTTGCTTTGAAAAGTGACTTTAAAAGCATGTTTTAGACATGTGTTGACATTTCCCTATTCAGAAGCTTTGTCCAAATGCCTGGGATTTTGTAAATCTAGTGTTGATTGAACCTTTCCATGTGAATGGTCCAGAACAAAAAACCATGTGAACATCATAGTTTGACTGCAGAAAAGTACAGAGAGTGTAAAGCTACTAGGAGGGGAAATAAAGTTTGGTTGCTGGAGATGTAGCATGCATCTGAGAGGAGAAGTAAAAGAACTGCACCCTAAGGCTTTGAAGCCCAGGTTTTCTGTGAGTCAAAAACTGACCACGAGGTGGCATTTGAGCCTTTCTCTTTGTCAAATCAGTTCAGTTTTGTTGCTTAGTTGTTAAGTCATGTCTGACTCTTCGTGAATACACATCCGACTCTTTGCTCAGTTCAGTACAGTTTGCTAAAAAGCAGCAACTGTTGGAGTCATAACACTTCTTCAAACATAGCAGGGAAATAGGAGGCTATAGTTTCCTTTTCTCCTCCTCCTCTTTCATTCTCTTGCAAGCAGCTAGAATCAATGCTGCATTCTTCCCAAAGGAAATCCAACACACATTACTTTGAGCAGTTCCAGGCTCTCTGATGCAGGGTAGCAGACAAGAGCCACAGGCTAGGATGAATGGGTGAGATGGCCAGCCCTACCCCAGAGTGATGGCAGAGGAGCCTTGCTTTTCCCAATGGCACTTTGCATGCTGCTGACCCAAGTGCTAGGCTGATCAAGGTAAAGTGTACACAGCTGCAGATCAGAAAAATATCTCCATGGGGGATTAAAAAAAACTTAGACAGTCAACACCCTTCTCTTTGAGGCACACAGGCTCATAAAACTGAGACAAAATATGTCACAAGACACTTTGATTTATGCAAGAAGCTTCACAAGAAAAGGCTCTTTCTGGAGAGATCAAAGAGGTCTTTTGCCCACAGTTCATCCTCCTCTCTAATGTCCCCAAAGAGGTTAGGTGTTTCAAGGTGGATTCAAGCTATGTTGCACCACCTAAGGGAGGAGAACCCTTGGAAACCTTCTCAGGGACCTCCAGGCCTGAGAACATGTTCCTCGGATATCCAGAGACCAAGAATCACATCTGTGCTGCTGGAGAACTAATACAGGAGCCCTTCCAGCGATTATGGGAATGGAAAGTCACCTCCTGCTGACTCCTTGGGCCTTCCAAGTAATGCCAGCCTTCTGCTGAGACAACATGCTTCTTCAGCTCAGCTAGGAAAAGCGCTGGCGCTCTCCAAGGTCCTGGCAGCTCCTCATTGGATCTATTGACTGTGTAGTAGCGACTGGCATTGACAGATAGGTTTTCCCAGTTCCTCTTGGCTCAATGTCCTAATGAAATCTGTAAAAATGTCCACAGAGAAATAAGTATTTAAATGCATATTTTAAACCTCCTTTCTCCCAAAATGCTAATTCATAAACACATCCCCTCTCAACTACTCATTCGTTGATTCCTTCCCCAACCCTTCCTTTTTTGGAATGAAAAAGAGAATGCCTTAGGACATTTGGAGAAGTGGAAGCTCTGGTCCACACATGAGTCCAGGAGGAGCGGATGCATCCCATTTGGAGAAGTGGAAGCTCTGGTCCACAGGAGGAGCGGATGCATCAGTTTGCATTTGGTTTCACTATCATCACATTCCTCAAATGCCCCTCGATTATCTAGTCAGAGCAGATAAAAACTAATTTCAAGGATGTCTGTTGACTCAGACTTCCTTTCTGCTAGTCTGATAAGCCAGAGAGCTTACTGGATCATAGCAATATCTGTTTTATTTGCTTATTTTTTTTTCATTTGTTTATTTTAGAGCATTGGTATGCTGCTTAACATTTTAAGAAAATCTTAAAGGAGTTTGCAGGTTTTCTAAAAACTGAAATAGAATGGGGGGCTGGAAGTAATAATAGAATAAAAGCAATGGAATCCATTAAACACGATACATTTAAAAAAAGAGTAAGTGGTGATGTTAACTGTGGAGAAATGTAAAGGAAAATGCTGGAGTGAAAAGATACGCCTTTCGCTGACAGTGGAAACATTGAACAGTGAGAGCCACCTAATCTAAGCGGTGAGACCACATCACCTAATGGGTGCTACCAGTTCAGCCATTCGTACTGGTTTTTTCCTCGTCTGAACAGGTGTTTGGTGCTTCCTAGCCCTGCCTCCTCTAGCCTGTGCCCACTCAGGGGAAGCACCATGGCTTCCTTGCCCCTCCTCCTCTGGGCACAGCCTCTCAGCGGGTGCCTGCCTGAGGAGGCAGGGCTAGGAAACACAAGGCACCTGTTCAGCTGAGAAACAAACCAGCACAATCCACTGAATTGGTGGTGCATGCCCACATCTAGGGGCTACCACAAAGAAGCCACCCATCTTCACATTCACCTGGTTCACCTGGTTTAATCAGGTAATGCTGGCTAATCCCTGTGTATATGGATCCACTGAGCCAACTAGATAAAGAACACAAGCAGGAAACCCTCAAGAATAGTTGAGAACAGAGGGCAGTTGGTGTCTTACTAGGGATAGACTGATTTGCTTTCTTGCTTCCTTGCAGGTCGCTTTGGAGTGTTTATACAATCGGGAGAAACGGATGGGGATTGACTTGGTCCATGACAGCGTGGAGAAGCATCTCATACAGGTACTTCCAGGCTTTATGGAATGGTTTCTCTCAGAGATGGTCAAGATACTGGTTAATTACTTGTTGTCCTTTGCATTCATTTCCTGTCTGTGGAAAGCCACGTGAAACTTTACAGCAAGTGGAAGACTTTTTTCCCCATTTTTCAATCAAACCAAAGCCAGACTTATTATAGAAGAACAGGGGCATCTGACTGCTGGAACGGTTGCAATGCTATTTGTTCCTTCAAACACGTGCCCTAGAGATGGTCTGTCATGCACACAGGAAAGCGAGAGCACCCAGTTAAAACTTTCTTCCATCAACAGTGCCTTTAGAACCCATACATTTAAGCTTTACTCATCAAAACCAATTAGATTCCTCCCTACATAAAGTTAATTTCACCCCATAATGGCATTCAGAAAAAGGCACAGGAGACTCAACTGAGAGAGCAGCCAACACAAAACAGACAGCTTCCAAATAGCTTTCGTTTTTGTCCTGTTGTTAAGCACCAAGAAAAAATGGCATTTTCTGTAGTGGTTAATGGGAGGAAAGATCTCCTATCAAGGGATAATTACAATGGGAGAGGTTGTGATTGCTATGTTATATGGTCCAGAAGGCAGTAGCTATTATGCTAATCTTCTGCAGCAAGATAAAAATGAGCCACTAAAATAAAGTCTTGGGTCACTCTAACTTGCTTCAACCTATTTTTTTCAAAAGTTATCCTGGATTAATGCCTGCTTCACCAGACACTGAACCGGCTGTTGTCATTCACCTGTTAGGTTCCCCCCCCCTCAAGTTTAAATGTTACCCTGAGCGTTATTATACGCCATCCATGTTACTCAAGCAGCGTAGCCTGGAGGGAACAGAACACACGTTGTTCCCACATCTGTATTTGCAAAAAGCCAATTCTATATAGAAATTAATCCTGCCTTCACTGACAGGTGTGTCTATTCTATTATAGGAGGTTGATCTGATCAGAGCGTGCCAAGAAAAAATGAGGAAGCTTGCAGAAAGAATGGAACAGCAATTGAAGTAAGCTTTTGAAAATGCAGTTGAGTCTCTAAAGGCGGGTCATGAGCGTGTCCCCATCAGTTATGATGCAGTGACCCCAGTTATAGCTTCGTGGTCTTTGCTTAGAGAAGTCTCTTTTAGGCTGTGACCCTTCCATGAATGGCTGTCAGTTCAAGAGACCTTTAACCTGTCTGGGTTGCCAGCTATTCAGAAATCACTCCCAGGATTCTTAAAGGCAGGAACTGAAATAGCCTACAGCTGCTAGAAAGATCACTGTGGATATTTCTCTTCTTCTCCTGTTTATTTTCTTCTTCTTCTGGTAGGAACCCTGCCATTTAAATACGGGTTTAAAATGTGGAGACACTACAGGCTAAAACATCCCATGATGCACAGACCTTCTTTGGCCTCTGCCAGTGAGACCGCCTGACCCTTTCAGACGATGTGGCCGAAAAACATTCTTTTCAGATGAAATGTCCTAATGCTTATTTGTCATGCCCTGGAAAGGAATCAGAGGTGTCCAGGAGCTCTAAATGATAATCAATCAATCAATCAATCAATCAATCAATCAATAAATCACTCCCATCCATCCATCCATCCATCCATCCATCCATCCATCCATCCATCCATCCCACAACCTACTTTTAATAAGCATCTCATCAATTGTGTCAACTAAACCATGCTGGTGTTTTACAAAACTTTAAGGCAACATTCACGGTTTGTTTTTATAAATTGTCAGCATAGAAGTGAACCTTTGTGTGTGTGGGCGGCGTTGTCACTTAGGCCCAAAACATGCTAAAACTTGTAAAGATGCTGAAATAACAGATCTTTTTTATTTGTCTTTGTAGCATTAACAGAGATGCTCAGCATGCCCTTGAAAGGGATCTCGGCGATAAAAACTCAGCCCATTTCATTGATGAAAAATGCTATAATCTGAGGAATACTTCCGACAGCATTAACTTCTACCATGGAGTGGAAAAGATTGATGGAACGTAAGTGCAGGGGCATTTCACGTATCGGAGCTAGAGAGAGGAATTAAGTATGTGGCAATGTAGCACTGGTACAGAATCAACCTCCTGATGTTGTATCAGACCTATTCAAATAGAAAATGAATGTCGTGAATTGTCAGAGACAAATATTTGAAATAATATTAAACAGTTGACTACTGAACTTGTAAAATCTCCTGAAGCCCTTTAACGTATACTGCACTCCAAGTTCAAAACAACACAACACACAGCCTTTTGCCTTGGTTTTCAAACCCAAATGCCTATTACATTGCTTATTTGAAGTCCAGCTTTAGCGTTGCCTCTTAAATTTTACATGACGCTGATGATGATTCACATTACAGTGGGCTTCAGTAGAAATGATCCAGAGAACTTTCTGAGAATACCCATTCATTTTAAACATGAAATAGGGCTCACTGTCACCTGCATAAAACATTTGACAGCTTGGCTGAATCCACGCTGAAGCTTTTATGTAGCTAATGAGTTCACACATTTCTTAGGAGGCAAAAATTCGCACATAAAACCCTCAATCTAGTAAAGCTTGCCCAAGTATTAAGATAATCAGGAGAGGCCTTTCTCTCATTGCTCCCAGATTTTAGAGCCTCCTCCCAGAAGAGGCCAAGCCAGGCCCATCTTTGCTGTTGTTTGGAATCTAGAGTTTGGATCTTATGTGCAAAGTGTGAAAAAACTTTTTTTGTGGGACCTTTTTGAACTATGATGATGAGGTTAAACAAATTAAAATGCAATTAATACAAACTTTGAAAAGGAAGAAAGAACATATTAGTAGTCAAAGATGAAAGCGGCACAAACCTGTAGGGAAAACTTGTGTGAACGGTTGCAGAACAACCTGAGACGCTGGACACACTGCCCAGGTTTTAACAACAGATCCATTCTTACCTTGCAGAATCTCAGTTCCTGAAACATGGGCAAAGTTCAGTGATGACAACATTCGGTATTCCCAGAATGCCCGGGCCAACTCCGCCACCCTCTGCAGTGAAGCAGATCATACGCTAGAGACCACTTCGGATGACATGTGGCGGCAGTGGACAGACACCAACTTGGCCTTCGATGCCCGGATCTCAGAAACAGCGGATGCAAAGAACCAGCTGCAAGCACAGCTGGCCAAGGTAGGTAGGAAGGTGACACTTTTTGGAGAAGCGGGATGGGCCGGCCTGTTGGCGCTCTACTCAGGGGAAGCACCTTGATTCACTTGGGGAGCTTCGTCTGCTCTGTTGCCAGGTCCCTCTTCATCCAGCTAACGGGGCCTTCCCTTGCACAAGGAAAATCCTCGGTAGCTTCTCCTGCAAGATCTGAAAAACTGCGGGTGAAGTAGAAAGAGGTGGAAAGGCATGTTGTTCTGTTGGGAGCAGGATTCTGCCTTCTAGGGCTAGATGCCCCATCTCCAGGGGAAAACAACTCCCTTTCCAACAGACGCAGGCTGATGAATACAGACTATCGCCCGACGGCAGACTCTTCTGCTGTAAAAGACTCTCCCTCTGTCTTGGCCGTCCACGGGGTTTGCTTCCATGCTTAATTCCATGCTCTGGCAAAGGAGAGGGTCCTTGAAGCCTCTGGATCACAGGCTGGCCTACAAAGATTTAGCATGCATTGGGTTTGCCCAAGATTTCCTGCTGCCTGAAGAGGAGAGGCCAACAATGGCTTCCGTTCAGCCTGGGAATTCTGGGAATTGTAGGCTGAAAAGTAATTTCTCCAGGCTCTTGGCGTTGTATAGCTGGGACATTATGGCTCACAAATCCCTCTTCCTATGCTGAACGCAACCTTCTCATGGCGAATGGGAGGCATTTTGCTGCCTGAAGCACAGGAGACGACCTTCCCGGCCCCTTCCACCCCTACAACCCAAGCAGAGAAACTAACTTGACTGCCTATTTGGTATCTTAATGATTCATCCTCAGTGTTTGCTCCAAGGTGGATTTTGTGTAAGCAAGATGATTTAAACGACGTGCTGTTCCCTTTCTGTTTGTTTGTTTTTTTAAAAAGTGTGGTTGAGGCATAGCAGCTTTCTCTGAAGAAGGTGGAGGTGAATTTACATAAACTGATGTAAATTCAACCCTAAATGCCAGAGGACAAATGTGTAGGTATTTTCCTGGAACAGAAGGGTGTAAAAAGTTGGTATGTTTGGAAGCTGTGTAGCTACCTTTCACCCTGGCTCAGATGTTCTCTCTCTGTCTGTGCTTCTGTAGATGCATGAATGTTCTCTTGCCCTTTCTCTCTCTCTCTCTCTGCTTTCCCTGATTCTTGGAATATTGGAAGATAGCCACGGAATAATGCCAATCGGAACAACGTGGTTTGCTGAAGTGCCCAAGCAATCTGTTCGTTTTCCAATGGCATGAATTATTTTGATCCAATATGCAGTCCTGGTAGAAGAAGCCAAGCAATCTGTTCGTTTTCCAATGGCATAAATATTCTACCAATATGCAGTCCTGGTAGAAGAAATTTGGAAATTACATTTATAAGACATGGAATGCAAATCTTGTTTCATTTTGGTTTGCGTATAATTCATAGTAAGATTTAAAAAAAAACACAGGAAGGGATACAGAAGAATCAATCTGAATGTAGGCGCTGTTAGCCAGAACCAACACAGAGCAAGCGTCACAAGTGTGTTCTGCAGGTCAATGTTGTATTTGAAATAACCCAACACAGAAAAATGTTGTGTTGGAAGAAGACATTCATGTGTATTTTTCAGGAACCAAAAGGGATAGGTGTTATGTCCCATTCTTGTGGGTGGATTCTTCAGCCTTGTGGCTTTGCCCTTCTCATGTTAAGATTTTTTTTTCCCAAAGCAATCCTACGAGGAATACTTAGGTTAGAATAAGTCCAGGAGACAAGAGGCGAAAGTCATGTCAAATAAGCAGGAAGGTTTTTTTCCCTTCAAAAGCCAAGGAATAAACCAACACATTGTCTTTTCTTTGTTTACCCCCCCTCCAGACACTCCAAGAAATCTTCCAGACGGAGAACACGATCATGTTGCTGGAAAGGGCCATTATGGCCAAGGAATGCCCCCTCAAGGTGGCTCAGACTCGCCTAGAAGCAAGGACGTGGAGGCCCAACATGGAGCTCTGCCGGGATGTCCCACAGTTCAAGTGAGTGGCTCCCCTTTCTCCTCCCGTTTTGCTCATGCGGCTGTCCGAAATTCACTTAATGGTCGATCATAGGTTCAAACCCCACAGCAAAGCTTGGCGATGTGTTGATAGCTGATTTCTCTCCCGATAGGCTAAGCTAGGTAAGTCCCACCAACCCAACAGATCTGCTCCAGTTGGAAGTAGCTAGTACTCAGGGGAGGGGGCCTTTTTGTGCCACAAGGACTCTATCATGCTTGTCTCCGGCACAGGATTCCCACCACGCAAGTGTGTCACCTCTGACATACAGGGACCCTATGCATTAGTGATTAGTTGAGTCCCGTCATCAACAGTCCAGCTCAGGTCTTGCAAAGGCAAGGCTATGGTGGCTTCCTTGGTTGAGCTGATCCTTCTCATGTTCTCCTATTTCCCCTTTTTTCCTCTTGCTTCAGTTTTTCCCAGCACAACTGGCTTTTCCAGTGAGTCTTGCCTTCTCACGGACTATCCAAAGTCCATTCCCCCCTATGCTTTTATTGATGCATTCTCTCCTCCTGTCCCGGCTTTAGATATCTCTGGAAGGCTGTGGGCTTCCCTTTTTTCAGCCACAGAGGAAACATCTGACTCCTCCTTCTTATCACTTATGAAGGCAAGATATTTGCAGTCCAGGCTCTGGATTTGAGTTAGGGTGGGTTTAGTGCCAAGGGGGGAGGGGGGGTCTTACTTCCTTGAACAACAGCAATTAAAAAAGAAAAAGGGAAAAGCCTGGAAGAGTTGAGTCATCTTTTCCAAATGCACCTGTATTAATGCCTCAGTGGGTGGGAGCAGAGATCTCATCTCCTGCAGTTATCTAGATGGAGAGGCATTGACAGATTTTGGCTGAGGATCAAAGGGGGTTTAGAGCAAAGCTTGCAAACTTTAACTCTCCGGATCCCAGCCAGCAAAGAGCAGGCACAGGAAAAGAACTGCCTCAGCGGCTTATCCACAAAGCTGCACACAGTGCTCATCATCACACTTAACAAAGAAGAATTTTTTTAACAGTTTCACTTTTTATCCTGAAGGGCTTCTGTGCCCAAAATAAGACCCACATTCCTGGTCTCAGTCAGGCAGCCTTAGTGGCTTCCCCTTCAAAATCCTCCCTTCCCACCCATCCATACCCCCAACCCTGACTCGTTTCTCTCTCAAGGAGCTGCCTACGGCATGCTCCTCTTTTGTGGCTGGGAAGCACACACACAGGCTGTGGACCTGGAGGTCAGTGTGGGTGACTTTAGGCAAAAAGCCCGGGGGCAGCACCTGACTATGAACTACCACTCTGTGCTCGGCAGGGGCCTCTGCATGGATTAATTTATAGGATTAAGAAGGCGCCCTATAACTAACACCCTCTGGGTGGCTTGCAAAAATAATAAGCACATTACAAGTGAGGGGAAAAAACACAATGAAAGCAACAGATAAAACACACAGCAAATGAATTTGAAACAGTCGATTAAAACAGAGAACAACAACAACAAAAAAAAACCCACGGCTGAGCCAGATCAATTGGAATGCAGCATAATGAGATAACAATCAAGGCCAGAATAAAATGAAATGAAATTGAAGACTCCACGCGGTTTAGTTTAAAAGGCCGACCCTTCTTCCATGGCTGAGGCAACATAACTTTGGCCTGTGCAGAGCACATTGTAAGGGTGGGGGTGGGAGCATAATGAGGCCCATCTTCCCAATAGCTTGGAACGATTTCTTGCACAGGGCAGAATCCTTCCCACTGCCTATCTCTGCCTAAACCAAAAGCATACAGAGAGCTCCAGTGGGAGAGTTGCTGAGATGACAGGAGGAGATGCTACATTTCAAATACTTCAGGAACTCCTGGCTCTCAAGCCGTCTGAGTTGTTATCTCTGCAAAAACAGACACTGGGTTGAATGCTCCAAAAAGTATCCTTGGACGTTGCATGCAGGAACCCTCCTGTGATCGCTACCGAGTCTGGATCAAAACCCTTGACTTCTTTCCAAAATAATCTTATGTGTGCAGTAAAGAGGCCTGCCGTTCTGGAGAAAAACCACCACACCCTTGCAGATATACAGTACTGTATATACTAAATGGGTCAACGGCCTGTAGTCGAGCTGGAGGGAAGGCAGCGGCCAGTCAGGGATGGAGAATCAGGCAGTCTTGAGAACTCAGTCTGGGCCAGAACAGGATGGAATCAAGGAAGACTCGCTCACCAGCCATGTTTCCCCCGCTTCCGCTGAAGTAGGAGCTGTAATACTGCCTTTGGGGCATCTGCCATGAGGACGCTGGTGTTGTCTAGCCTATCTGCTACTTAGGTGTAATACCCGTTTCTGGCCACCTGATGTCGCTGTGACTCCCTCCCTCCAATACCAAGTTGGTAGCAGCCGCAGAGGATGCTGTATATTGTTGTTATATTTTAAATTGTTTTATTTTTATGTGTTGTTAGCAGCCCAGAGTGGTCAATTGACTAGATGGGCGGGATATAAATACAATAAATAAATAAATAAATAAATAAATAAATAAATAAATAAATAAATATTTCAACAGATATTGACATATACACACGCCGTTTAGTTCTAAATGTAAATGTATCAAATCTAGGGTTTCTTTAAATGCATGTTCACATACTTAAAAGAATAAAATAGAAATGAGGAAAAGATATTTTGGGGGCCATGTTAACTGGGAGTTGTAATCCAAAGGAGGAGAGGTATTTTGTTCATCTCTGGTGCCTCCATGTTGCTGCCAGAGATTCCCATCTAGCGTCTCCAGAGAGGGCTTCTCTCAGAGCTGAGAGGGCCTCCCATAAAACCCCTGGCAAGAAATAACCCCCTTCTGTCCTCTCTTTCTTCTCTTTTTTTCCAGGCTGGTGAATGAAGTCTTCACCATCGACGACACCCTGCAGACCCTCAAACTCCGCCTGCGCGAGGCTCAGGACACCCTCCAGCTGCTGATCCTCAACAAGGCCAGGCTGGAGCACGACCTCCTGGTGAAGGCCAACTCCCTCTTCATCGACAAGGAGAAATGCATGGGGATGCGCAAGACCTTCCCCAGCACCCCTCGCCTGGTCGGCTACACCTGAGCGGCCCGGGAGGGCGCCTCGGCTTCCTTGATCCTGTTGACATGACATAAAAGATGGCCGATCAAGGGATCCATTTCTCCTCGTTCCTTATTTTTTAGAAAAGCGGAGACAGAAGGGAAAAGGAAAGTTAGAAAAAGCAGACTGGAAATAAAACTTAATGGAAATGGAATCCAAACCAGACCACAGCTTTTCTTGAGAAAAGAAAACGTGAGGCGGATCTTGGCCCATGAACGGGAAGGTGGCCTCCCATCCCTTATGGAGCCAAAGAGACCTTCAAGGTTTAGCCTTTTCCACTGAAACGCTTGGGCGGTGGGGGCGGGGGGGGGGGGCTTGGCACATGTCAAGAGACACAAGGCTGATTCCCCCTCGTGCATCGTCACCCTCCTGTGCCAGCTTAATCCCTCAGGGGGTGATCCCAGTCCCTTTGCAGGGGCTTCTTCAGCAGGTCAGTTTCACCCAAGCAAGCTTTGTGGCCCCTGGGCTAGTCTTTGGCTGAGAAGGTGATGGGGGGGGGGCTTGGCACATGTCAAGAGACACAAGGCTGATTCCCCCTCGTGCATCGTCACCCTCCTGTGCCAGCTTAATCCCTCAGGGGGTGATCCCAGTCCCTTTGCAGGGGCTTCTTCAGCAGGTCAGTTTCACCCAAGCAAGCTTTGTGGCCCCTGGGCTAGTCTTTGGCTGAGAAGGTGATCTGTGACTGAAAGAGGNAACAACAGAGGAAATCAGATCCCCCCCCCCATGAAGCACGAAGGGTGTTGGTCATCACAGGGAGAGGGACCTGGGCCATCACTTGAGGACTGAGGAGTGGGAGGTGGGAGAAGCCCCAGCCTGGTGCGTCTGTCACTCACGGCCTCACTTGCAAACTGCCTCTCTGATAAAAGGAATTGTTTCCTCTCCAAAGTGGTCCTTGTGCTCCAGACTGCCTCCCTTGACTCCGTCCATGGAACGTGCTATCCCAAGACATTCCGCTCTGAATGTCCGAGTGGAGCTCTTTCTGCTGGGCTGTCGTCAAGCCTGGACGCTGGACGTTCCCCTGTTGACAGAGGCCTCGGGTCTGGAGAACAGGGCCAGCCGAGTGCTGCAGAACCGGAGACGCGCGCAAACTCAGACCACGTCTTCTCACCATATTGACAGGAGGGCTTTAAGCCACGACAGACCTTCTTAAGAAGGGTGGGGCGGCTCCCCAGCATCTCCACAGCAGCAGGCATCCCAAAGGGATAGGCGCTCATGAGCACCGAGCCAAACGGCAGGAGAAACAGGTCCCAGTTTCATATCATCATCATGAAGACTTTCACTTTCTTTGCAAAAGCAAAACAGAGGTTAAAATAATCAAACAGAACTTCCCATTTTGGAACATGTGGATCATCCTCACTACCTCTGGGGAGACCAGCCTGTCACACGTGGGTGGATGGAACCATACCATTTATAATGTGGTGGATATGAGGAACATCTGGGCGTGCAGAATACCTTGAGCCTGTCTGTACCTATAGCTCCGTGGATTAGGTCTCCGGCTGCAGAGCCAGAGGTTGGGAGTTCGATTCCCACCCCCACCCCCCGCTGGGCCTCGTGGGAGAAGAGCCAGCCTGGGGGGCCTTGGGGGAACGCTGCACGGTGGTCCCAGGGCATCCCTAGAAGAAGGGAAGGGGAGACCACTTGAGAGGAGTCTCTGCTTGGAAAACCCTGGAAAGGGTCACCGTCAGAACTGACTTGATGGCACAGGATGATGATGATGATGATATCTATAGCAACATAACCCTTAATTCCCTATGTTTACATGATCTTATGATCTGTAGTCATTCAGTGTTGATTGCACAGCAAAAGTAAAAGAGTCTCTTTCTCTCTCTCTCTGTATGTATATATAATATAAATTTAATTACCTTATAACCATGAGGTATGTAAATTTAATTAGACCATAATCCGTGCCAACCAGATCATAAGTGTCTTATATCTTCTCAGTGCTTCTCTCTGTGGCAGTTTGGGCTGCCTGGATCCTTCCAAACAGTTCTCCCTAGGAGCGCATTTCCTCCGATGCCTCACAGAACATACTCTTTCTTCCGTCTTGCGGCCACATTCCTTCTCCTCCTGCCCAACGCCAGGGTTGGAGATGAAAACAAAGTGGCATTATGTCCCCCCCCCCTTTCTGGACTGGGCTCAGCCAGGAGCCACTTAGGGGCACAGGGTGGAGTTGGGGGGTGGGTGGGTAGGAGGAGCGAGAGCACAAACTAAGCAATTAAGATGCCTGTTAAGGTTGTCAGACTTTCTGCATAGAGAACATTCTTTAAAGTTTGTGAAGCTAACACCCATTTTATTCAGGCAGAGGCTCTGGAACATGGAGAGTTCCCTGTCTCGTGACCCCCAGTGCCCTGCGCTGTACAGGCTGCAGAAACCGAGGCCTGGCTGAGGTCCTAGACGGACCCTGGCACGCAGGGTCCCATCTAGCCTCTGCTGGTGACCGGGGGGGGGGCTCTCCTCAGCCATTCCTTTCCCTTCCCATTTGGTCCTTTCATCCAGAGCTTCCAGGGGCCAGCCATGCGCAGCCCTTCACCGGCTTGATCGTAAGCTGGTTTTCATGTGTGGTGGCACAAAGCTATGATGTGGCTTTTGTGTGTGAGATCACTTTTACACATACACATGCCTCGCACGGATGCTGTGTAGAAACTGACCAATGTATGGAGCTAACTCATCCAAACATGACGCCAAAATGCAGATCAACTAGTCTCATCGTCCTGCGTGCTCACCAGGCTCTCTGATCCGGCTGCCCTTTGCTGTCGGAGGGCAGGCCAAGGGCCACCAGGGGCTGAAGGTTGGAGCTGGCTCTACGGGTGGGGTCCACTCTTCCTTCAGCATCACTAAATCCATCTTCTTTTGGTGAGTTTTCAAAGACAGAGAGAAGAGGCTGCCCGGGAAAGATTCTAAAAACCCCCACATCTATTATCTGTATCATTTCCTATGTGAGTTTCAGATTCCTGTGGGGTTTCCTTTTGCTATTTACTGCTTGTTAGCAGCAATGGAAGGAGCTGACAGTCCGTCGGTTCCAGATCTGCCCTTCCCATGTAGCTCTCCCACAGAATATCAAAAGCGAGCCATGGAATACCGTTGAATGGGAGTCGGGAGTCATAGGCTGGCAGGGCTGGCAACCGGGAGGACCCGCACCTCTAAGAGCTGCTGTTGCCCAAGCAAAATCTCTGTATCCACAGGAAGACGTTCGAGTCCCTGTGCCAGGAAAGAGCAAATGGCCAGCTGTGGAGGTCAGAGTCCCTCTGGAGCCTAGGAACCCCTCAGGCCCAACTGTAGTCTCGGTGGCTCTCTGTGGAGAATGGGTGCTCCAAACCCTCTGATGTCCATCTTCTGGTCTGGCCAAGTCCCGACCTTGCACACAGAACTTCTCTACGGAAGCGCCTGCTATCGCTTGAAGAGCTCTTTGGGATCACACAGAGGGCCCAACTTTGCTGGAGGAGTCAAGCAACTTCTTATGCTGGTCTAAACTGACTTCCAGAGATGTACCCTCTCAGCCACCCTCCCTACTGCTCAGTCAACATAGTCTTCAACCACAATGGATGCAAAATAGCATATCCCTCTGCCTATCTCATCCTGCTTATGTCACAACTCCAACTGCAGCGTTGATGCAGCCGAGGAAGAATGGCGCAGGCCCTCAGATGAGCATCGCCAGCTGAGAACTCCAGGCAGTGCCTCTCCAGCCATAAAGCGAGGCAGGAAAGGTTGCTTTCACGCCACAGGTGAGGGGCACTCTCCTGACGCTTTCGGCCTTCAACCAGGGCCAAATATCTAAGAACACGGCGTACAGAACACGCCAAGGAATCTGAGGCATTAATCGGTTCAACCTGCTAATGGCTGGGCGCCATGGTGTGGGAGGGCGCAAAGAGAAGCGATGCTCCAGAAGATACGAAACACTGAGTTTGAGTTTGAGATACCACAGGAAGAAAGGCCAGTCAACGTGGTTGCTAAATTGTCTTGCGAGGCCCACACTCCACCGGCTACTTCTTCTGGTTCTACTGTGGGGATTTTTTTTCCCTTAGAAATCTGACAGGAGGTGTATTAAGACGTGAGGCATCAGGAAAGTGTTTCCTTATTGCCAGCAGAGAAATCAATACATGCACAACTTGAGGTGTCAACAAAGAAATCTGAAGTTCCAGAATGCAAAGGGTAGCTTTTATAGACAGTTACACAAAACACCATAAATGCTTTTGTTTTGTTTTGTGTTTCTGGCTGAAACCTCCATAAATAAGTCATTAAAACTGGTCTTCCTTTCAAGTTTTTGTTTTCACATGATTTTCTTTGAAGTCCCTTACTCTCGGGATGTTTCTCAAACGGCAACGTTTTCTTCTGCACTGGGCTTGTCCAAAATGATGGCTAAGGTTTAGCCTGGCTTACTCACAGGATGGGATCCCTGTGTAAACTGTTTTATGAGGCTTCATTGCTGCTGCCAGAATGCCTAGGGATCTTCACACTTTGCAAAGAGTGGCTGTTTCTCATACTACATGTAGCTAGCTATACTTAAAGGTACAAGAAAGTACCTTGGTTATTTTCAATACATTTATATCACTGCCAAATTCTAACACATACACTTATATCTCTGAAGTTACAATGAGGAGGAACCTCATATGAACATGTGAAAGATCTAGCATATAGTTGGAGACCCAATGCCACCTGCACTCCCCAATCTGCCTCCACGAGGCTGGAGCAGAACTTCCTCCTGAGTAGGCCCCTGTCGCTCACCTCAGCCAGGTCACTAGGTTGCCTGAACCCCCTCTCCTCTCCACTACTGGGTTAAGCTTGGATCTGCTAAACTAGAAGCCCAAAGTATTCCTATTGGGGTCCACAAAATGTCCTCAAAACCACTGTTGTGATTAAACATATTACAACCCTGGTCTGTCACGGCGGTTCCTCAGACCAGTTTCCCAAGACTGTCGTCCAGTATAGTTTAACTACGGCTTTGCATACTTTGGGGAGAGAGCGGCCCACATTCACAGGATGCGCCACGCGTCTGAGGATGAAGTGGGCTGCAGTCCACAAAAGGTTACGCCAGCCACCACAGGCCGGACTTCGAG